CGGACAACCTCCAACAGGTCTAACTTTCACTGTTAGGGCCGCCATACAACTTACATTATAGCAAATCATCCTCCTTCTCTCCGTATTCCATCACAAAGAAGTATGTTCCAATCGGACAGCTTCTACCCGCGAACCAGATGCTTCTTGATTACTACAATCTTAACCTGTTCAAGAGTTAACTGTCATCTTCCCTTCCTAGTCCATATAAACTACTCCTTAACGTAACCCTCTACCTCGAGTGGCCCCCGAGCCTTGTACAGGGTTAACCTTACTTATAAATTAAAATAGTCGATCATATTATTTACAGTATTATTTTCATATATATATATATATTAGTTTTAATCCTTTCAAGTCGACGAGTTCATTTATTGGTGGGTGTAGAAAATTGATCAAGAAAGAGAATATAAGAGAATTGCGGCCCAAAATAAATAAAGTCAGCTATAAGTATAGAAACAAAGTTGTTAAATGTTTCTATCATCATAGTTTTATCTAAAAATACAAAATTAAAATATTATAATTAAAAACATTTATTTTTTTAATTAAAAAAGTTACCTCCCTTGCATAACTGAAAAAATTTTGAATTTCAAACGTTGTAAACGAACAATTGAAAAATTCTTTTGAATTTATGGAGCTACTGTATACACATCTACAAATATCTTATCCCCCTGAATATGGTCTCCGATGAGATTGAAATTATTTGCGAAAATAAAAATTATTTGAAAGACAATTTTGGTATTTTCTTAAACAGTTTTCTACAGCCACCAAGAATGTAATTGGTGTACTTGAAAGAATTCAAACTAAAGTAAATAGACATAATACGTCTAAATTATTTAACCAAATCTACTTGAATGAAAATATATTGCCTTAAAATACATATATATGTATATATATATATATATATATATATATATGTGTGTGTGTGTGTGTGTGTGTGTGTGTGTGTGTGTGTGTGTGAATTGGGATAAAATATAGATTGAATATGGGTCAGAGTCGAACAGATTGATAACATAATTAACAAATAGGAGATATTTATAAATCTAACATGTTTTGCATTTATTCGCCAGAGAATGAGATACGAAGAGAGAAGAGAAAAAAATTTAGTATTTTAAATTTGAATGGCTGTTTGTTTTTCATTTGTTAAGCAGACTTCATGTGTATTTTGTCTTGTAAAGCAGCGTTCGTGTGGAAATTTATGTGTCTTTTTATTCTCCATTATCTCATTCTCTGATGAAGCTTTAATAAAGTCGAAACATGCTGGATTTATAAACGTTTCATACTTGTTTCTTACCCTAAAAAAGAACAAGCCGACCGGTTTTGCTCTCACTCAACAGAGCTGAAATCGAGGGAAGACTAAATATTGCGATATAAAATATAAAAGAAATGTAATGTATTAAAGGTGAAACAATCAGATTGAAATAACGTCAAGCCCTAATTGGTCAACAACACATATGGTTCTGCCACCACAGAGCATCTTATAAATTGTCCAAACTGTGGCACCAATTTCAGCACGAAATATTTCACCATTCTGAGTCATGCTCACTCATTCTTACATTTAAAGGCATTAAAAACAATATATGTCAGGTTCAGACAGCCCTTCCTCTGTAAACAGAGTGAGTGTCTGTTAGGGCTGGACGTTATTTCAATACGATTGTTCCACCTTTAATACATTACATTTCTTTTATATTTTATATTGG